AACACAATGACATGGCTAGTTACCTTACAAGTTACCTTACAGCTGGGAAGGAACTTCTAACCGATATTCACCTAATCCCAACCAGATTTTATTTCCAGTATTTTATATTGACAGAGCCAAGAAACAAATTAAACCACCTACCTGTTAACAACAAATATCTGGAATTTATTCCTTCCTACTATTCAAAATATACAGAGCCACTCAAATACTAACTTTATCAAAGCTTAAAGTGTACTAAGTGTGACGGGGGGCACTGTAGTAAATTTATGAATAGTTTGTGTGATTACATTCTACTTTATGAGGGAGGGTTATTGCAGTGCCTACAGAAACTAAAACCAGTAGGTGATTGAAGTGAGTCGCTGAAGAGACAAAGAAAGGTCTGTTAGAATAATAAGATGGGCTTGAACTGACACAGGGCTTTTTTCTGATTCAGCAAATGAGGAGTTTCTGACCCAACCCTTGTGAAAAGGTTGGAATGATTTTGGTTAAGGAGTCCTTTAAAACTGATGGGGACTCCTGGTATATTTACAGCTGTATATTGTTTATTAGGTTTTTACAGTAATGATCTTACTAATAAAGCATTTGCTTAACTAGAACTGTGTGGTAATTTCTAACTGCTGGCAACATACTATTTATAGCCCTCAGAGAAAACAAAATTCAGGTACTGGCCTTTAGACATTGTGGCTAGCTGGTGATATCACAGTGTCAGGTGGGGGAGCTGTGCAGCTTTAAAACCCCATAGTCAGAAGGAAGTAGGGCATGGGCACCCTGACTAGACAGAAGTGACAGCAGGAAACATGATACCCAACAGGGAACTCCTGGATCTTCTGGGGAGGTGGAGGTACAGGTGAAGTTCCTCTGAAACGGACACTAAAAATTTATACACAAAAGATTCCTTTCTCCTAATGAAAAGGCTAATTAAAACCAAATTCTTTATTCCCCATTATCTGTCTGAGTGTAGCTGCACATTTCAAACCCAATAATTGTAAGTAAAAATGCTGTTAGTAAAAGGAGATTAAAAAACATGAGACAAAACATGTAGTTCAACTGCAGTTTAAAGAGACTCATACTTCTGTTGTACTCATTCCCACTGTGATTTACAGAGATTTCCTTACCTGCCATTGCAAAGAAGAATAAGGTTCTGAACTGCTAAAACAGTGGAGTTTTCATTCTGTCCTGTAACAAGGTGCCTGTCCAGAACTATGTGTACAGCATCCGGCTTGCTGGCTAGTCAGAGAAAAATATTTAAATAGTGATGTCAATGGACACGGCTTCATAATTTAGACTTCACACATCCATTGAGACTGTGCTAGAGGTTAATGATTTCAAACAGACAGTATTTGGCGAGCAATTGATGTGCTGAGCTGTCTACAAGATAGAGATAAACCTGACCCTACCATCAAAGCTCCAGAGGATTTCAATATGGCATTCTCTGCATGGAATGATGGCCAGATTGGCCCTTTAATGGTATCATTTCTCTATCAAGTCGCCTATTGTATTTCATGAGGCTATCCTGGGAAACAAATTTTGAAGTGTATTTACAGTAAAACCTGTGTTATCTGTCACGGTTACCTGAGGGAGAGAGTGAGGTGGGAGCCATGCAGGGCCTACTGGGGGGAGGGGGGGAAGTGCCCACAGGAGCCATGCAGG